CAGAGGAGCAAGTCAAGCAAAGGTGACACTGAGCAGACCTGTCTCAAAGCAAGTCCTTTGTATATATATATATATATGTCTTTATGGTAGATTTTTGATGTATGTTATGGTACATAGGTGCATATTCGTGTATACAGGGCACCCTGAAAATTCGGTGGGGCATAGTCTCATCGCCTTCGAGCGCGAGGCCTTCGCCTTCGAGGGCTGCGAGGATTTCGTGCTGCTGCCGCGGTGCCCAGGTTGGCTGCAACCTCTTTGACCTCAAAAAGGGCGGGGGATCCGTTTTTTTTTGGTTGTTTTTTTCCCCCCTTTTGATGTTTGTTGTTTTAAAAAGGACGCTGAAAGGTTTTCTTGTTGCCCCTTTTTGATTTTTTAAGTTACCCCTTTGGAGCTATCCCTTTTTGGTTGGTTTCAAAAGGAAGCCCAGAGAAGAAAGCGCCGGATTGTTTCAAGGGAAACCGGTAAATTGATAAACTCTCGAAGACTCTTGTTTTGCCGGGGAGTTTCCAGTGACCGGTTCGGTTCGCTTTTTCTGGTCGGTTCGGTTTCTAGGGGTTGAGGTGAGGCAACACCCCGCCTGATGTCAACTCATGAGGCCGTTGTTGCGGCCGGGAAAGATCTCGTGCCCGCATTTTTACCCTCATTTGGGTGGATTCTAACATTGCTTCTTGGAAACGGTAAACATGTACTTGATGAGAGGTTGGCCATTTCGAGAACGGGCACTAGGATTGGAATTGGGATGCATGTCTCATTTTGCTGCTTTTTGGGGTGTGAACACGCCCCATGTCAGTGATGGATTAGACAAGGAGCTTACCCATGAAGCCATGAAGGCCCCTTTCGCGGATTTCTGAATCCAGTCTTGCGAGATCTGCAATTCAAGCAGATGGATTTGCCACTGCTTGGAACCTGACAGGGGAGTCGCAAGACCATTTTCCTTTTAAAGGGACACCCTTTCAGGCTCCATGTTAATTGGTGGGAGGGTGAGAAGCAACCCATCTGCAAAAAAGGGTGGTGGCTTCGTTTTTTTTTTCATCGTAATTTGAGGTGCAGTCATGGTCACCCCGCGCATGAGCAGGGCCACGGTATGAGGACGAGTTTTCGGGTAGCGCAAATGGCCCTAGAGAGGTTTTGGAGACATCATGTGTTCACCCTTGCCACGTTCTTTCCCTCTGCATAGCATTCTCAGGCTTTGGGGAGTGGGACATGTGCAAATCGCTCTGAGGCAAACTGCTGTCAGCATGGAGGCAGGGGCATTGGGCTCTTGCTTCCAATTGAGTGGCTCAAGGCAGCATTGAATGGTTTAGGTGCTTCTGGGGTTCCCGACTGAGCCAACTCAAGACTGAGAGATGGGTGAATCCTGGCTTCTCTTCACGCCGACCTTTTCAACGGAGGCCTTGTTTCGTGGCTAGCACTTTTCCAGCAAGGTCTCATTGAAGATGCCAACCTCGCAACGTTCGGGAAGGCCTTTCCCCCCCCCCCCCCCCGAGACTTGCTGTTTGCTCATCCCCAGTTTGGATCGATAGTTGTGGGCTCATTCACCCAGCACGCCAGCCGTCAGGCAAATGCGAGCAGGGTTCCACTTGTTTGGACTACAGGGTAGACTTAAAGCCAGGGGTGTTTCATTTCCCCCGAAAGGAGAACCCCCGGGTTTGAGTCTATCTTGGTCAAAAGTCAAGTCCAGGGGCGGAATGGTTGGTTCTCAAGGGCTTGCACTCAGTCAGCAGGGCGCTGGCAAATGGCTTGCCTCCAAACGACCGTCGGTTGGGGGCGTGAGGGGGGAAATGCGGCCAACGTATTCAGCCGATGTCTCGCAACAACAAGCCGTAGCACTCATTTGGGGTTGTGCTGAAAAAGCAATGGCGACTTTTCTTTTTTGTGCGGGGGGGGGGGGGGGTTGGGGGGCGGGCAGGAGGGAGCACCTTTCCCAAAGGAAAACGCGAGCCCTGACAAAAAGTTCTATTCCGTCTGGGTTTGGATTGTAACTAACTCGCAGCTCGCTTTGTCTCGAAACCGGGGGGCATATTCTCCCGAACCGGTTGCTCACATTTTGCTTGGACAACATGGCCAGAATCTAAAAACACATTCAACTTGGACATGTCGTTTGTGATGTGGCCATGGGTCAAAACCCAAATCGTACCCCCAGTGAACATCCCAATCCAACCACTAAAATAGGTTCCAAAATGGGTGGTGCACCGAAAACCCCCAACATGGGATCCCAAAACGGTTTTGAACCATGGCCATGTGCAACAACGGGCGGGCTCCCTCCTGACTGGCGGGTTCTGGGCCGCGAGGAGAGCGGGAGCGCCGGGACGGGGTCGAGCCGGGAGCCTGGCGCGGGGGCAGAAACCTGTGGGTCAAAACCGTTTTGGGATCCCATTTTGGGGTGAATTCACCACCCAGTTTAGAACCCATTTTAGTGGTTGGATTGGGATGCTCACTGGGGGTGCGATTTGGCTTTTGACCCATGGCCATCTAAGTTAAGAACGAGCCTACAT